TCGGACGTCAGAGTGCGCGCCAATCAGAACACAGTAAAGTGTGTTAAAGGTTAACCTCGTGGCAAATGTTGAAAAGCTGTGAGCAACAGTGAGTAAAAAACGGAGTAAATGCGGTCTAGCATGACTAGCCTTAATTCGGCAAGGTAGTGATTTCTATACTTCCATTTAGTATTGGATACCTTTGCAGGTTGTTCTGCTTCAAATTACGGTAAACAATAAACAACGTGATCTGTAGAAATCGTAATAATTTGTACATGATTTGTCATCAGTATTATTTAAAAGAAGAAAATTCCTACTACCATAAGAATAATATCGGATCAAAATTCTCCGAATTGGAAAGTTTACCAGTATAACTACTGTCTGCTCTCCTCCTCTATAGGGGAAAATGTAGGCCGTACGTAAGCCTAAATTACATCGAAATTCGAACATACTGAATGCCCACTAGGTTGCCCACCCAGCTAGCGAACTAAACACAGTTTTAAAACATGATCGATTTAATAATAAGGTAGGATATAACAAAACAATAAAGTTCTAACATTGTTTATTTAGTAAATTGCAACATTGCTTACGTGTTGAAAGCTGGTAAACTATATTTCAATATTGTTTACGCATTGATTATCAGCCCGACGATCCAGCCTACGATCATTGCAAAGCTAATTAAAATAACAATGACCTTCGTAGTGGTTCGTAGCTACGAGCAGGCTACGAGTGGTTACGCGCAGATACGAAGCGATATTTCCTGCCTGTACTGTACACCCTTTCCTGATTTTCATTAATGAAACTCATAGTAATTTTTCTTTCTGCATCCTTCCCTTAAAAAAATTAATTTATTGTTACATCCATTATGGAGGCTATCTATTCACTACTGTCTACATTTCTGTCTGTTAGCAAGATTACACAAAAACTAAGGATTTGATCATCATAAAATTTAGTGGAATGGATGTCCGAAAGGGTAGGGGGCCTAAAGTATGGCCGATCAAGATTACAGCAACCTAGGGGGTCCAGGGGCATGCGCCTTCAAATTTTTTTTTTCTAGACACCCAAAAATAACATCTGAGGCGTTTAGGGCTATCAGTTTTTTCTTTTTCTTTCTTTCTATTTTTTTTTTAACTTTCCAAAAGGTGGGGTGCCCCAGCCCCCTCCCCCCATATATCTGCCTCTTAAATGGTACATAATATTCAAAGAAAGACACCATTAAATTTTTAGAAGAAAAGGTCAAAGCAAATTAAGATTACTAGTACTCAAATAATATCACATTATAAAGATAATTCTTCACAAATTAATTTGACACTAGCATAGAGGCTCAGTTGGAGCAGTCAGTTAAAGTACATGCAATTTTGATACAAGTGGCATTAACAAGGGGTATTGTAATACCTGGTGGCTTGATTGACAATAAGTAGGCCGGCTAATGGATGTAACCTTGTGTACGGACTGATTATGAAAGTGCTCATATTGTGAAAGATGTGATCCTAATGCGCATTCTGCTAACACATTTGAAGTGTCATTCTTCACGTAGCCTGCTGTAAAAAAAAATACAACAGAAAATGTTAATAACAAGTGGTTGTTGAATGTATTGCAATTGTTTACAATAGAAATTCAGGCTCATTTTTATGCTGATATTCTTCTGTATTTTATTTGAAATGAAACAATTGAAATTTGAATACAAAACTTAATAAACATAGTTTAAAGGTGTATTGTCTCATGCAAAATACCAAAAAAAAAAATCATACAAATCATTTTTGAAATTATCTTACTAATTTTAAAGTAGCGAACCTGTCTCTTTAATCAATAATTCTTTATATTTAAGCGCCAGTGACAAATAGTCTTTTTTTTTTCTAACAGATGGTATACAAATTTTTATTATTATACAAATTATCAATTTTAACATAGAAATTAGTGTATTTAAAAAATTTTGCCCATAATTTTACAGCGAAAAATGATAGAAACACTTTCAGTAACTACAATTGTTTTATTGTTTTTATTATCATTATCTAGTACAAAAATCAGTGTATAAATTTTTAAAATTCAATCATTTATTATGCTCAAGTTAATAATTTGTATGTTACTGCAAAATGGACAAGTTAAATTCAAAATTATTTTTTATGATTTATTTTGTCATTTTTAAGGAACAACACATCTTTAATTAAGTAGATCATAAAGATTTTCCTGGATAATAAACAAGCTTGCGGGTTTTTTTTTACTATTATATCATGATCCGTAATTATTAAAATAATCTATATTTTTAACATGAATTGTATTTTTGCTGCTGAATTTTTCTATATTTCTTACATTTTTCAGGTTAATTTATTCTTATTTATTTTTTTCTCTTAGATAATTTATTTCCCAAATAAGTTAATTGCAACATTAACACAGATACCTAGAAAACATATTTCCTTTATTAATTCATATAATTTGAATTGTATTGATAAGTATAACTTTCAGAAAAGGCAAACCTTTTAGAAATGTAAGATTTATTCATTTGAAGCCTAGAATGCTGTCTCAATACTTGGCAGTATTTATATTAATAATAACCCTAATACCTCTTCAATTCAATTTCTTTGTCTCCTTGTTTAATATAAAACAAATTAGTGTGTGCTTATGGAGCAATATAATCTTATCTTTCCCCCTATAGGCGAACTGATGATCAACATTTTGTCTAAGGTCTTCTATCTGTTTCTTAGATTTTCGCACATTAAATAATCTAATAAAAATACTGAAATATATTTCTAATAATACAATTACTATAATCTATTTACAAATTTTTTTTTTACATAGTATACTATCAAATTGAAGTTAGAATATTCCTAATATAAACATCTTTAGCAACAATCAATCAGTACATTTCTACAGTTATTTCAAAATCCAACGAAAAATGTATGTATTAAAATGTATTTTTTGTTTTGTTTCATCATTTTATTAATAGGATCATCGGTATCTGGTAACACAAAATGGAAGAGGCCACCGCCACCAAATTTGGACCCAAAAACTGATAAATTTGTATTCCAGCAGATTGATCTTGATCATTATATTGGTATGTAAATTACTGTCAGGAATCACCTCGCTTTGTTTGTGTTTACCTCCTTCATCCGAGATTGAGAACCAACTTCATATTTGAAGGCTTTGGCCTGAGACCAATGGGTCCCGATGTATCATGCAGCAGCTAATCTACAAGGCACAGTCCAGTCCACTCTTGACTGGTGCTATGAGATGAACAAAAACACTGGGGTAACCCTCTACTCATCTTAAAAGATGGTCTGGGTTCTTTAAAGTCACTTTTTAGCTCCGATGAGGAACTCTAAGAATACCCTGCTGATTGACTGCTTTTTTGCTCGTCCGGGAATTGAACCAGGGACCTCTCACATCTTACCCTACATTCATGCCACTAGACCTTACGAACCGTAGTTACTGTGTCTCACACCCTAAGCTGCATTCATGCCTCCATGACGAGTCATAATGACTGTAATTTTAAAGTTTGAAGAAGCTCAAGGAATACTCAGCTGAAGGAATTTTTACTTTTTTGCTGATTGATTAATAGATCTTTTTCCATTTTTAGAGAAAAAAAATTAACGGGGCTTGTACGGCAATTGAACCAGGTACCTCTCACACCATAAGCTACATTCATGCCTTGAGACCAACAAGCCAAAGTTACTGGGTAATTTTGAAACTCTAGTAATACTCGGCTGTTCGATTGTTTGATTGATTAATAGATTATTTTTGTATGGGCGGCCGTTAGGGCTAACACACTCTACTTCCCCTATTATACTGCCCTCATCGGAGCTTTCGAGATTATGAGAACTTGTTTTCTCATTGGTTCATGTTTTCTTAGATCAATAATGTTACTTTACATATATAATTTATATTTTCTCTTTTGTCTACAGGTACGCATATGGACAACATGCCCGGCCAATCAAAAGGTCCTGTGCCTATTATCCGTATGTTTGGAATAACGATGGCTGGGAACAGTGTGCTATGTCATATTCATGGCTTTGCCCCCTATTTCTACATACAAGCTCCCAAAGACTTTGAGGAAAAGCACTGTGTCTTATTCCGTGAACAACTGAATAAACTTGTGCTTGGTGACATGAGGTCAAACAAAGATAACATCTCTGATGCTGTGTTGGCAGTAGATCTGGAAAGCAAAGAAAGTAAGCATTTTGTAATTGACAGTTGAACAAACTGAACCTTAAAAAAGCTGACAATTAAAGCTTGGATTCCATTCAATTGCTACAAGCTATCGCCAACAGCTTTCGGTGATGCTGGTTGGTTGGTCGTATCGGGGAGCCTTCCTGATTGCATCGGGGACTGTTGCGCAGTACAACGATTGCGCTGGAAACATTGTAGCAACAACGTAGCAATTATAAGAAAACCAGGCTTAACAGACACTATGTAAGTTTGTACCTATCCATCTTCTACTGTAGGTCTGTGGATAAGATACTTGCTTTTATATTCCATCGTCCTCATATGACGGAATTTTTTCTCAGGACCAAAACAACTTTGATCCATAAGCCTCGTAATGAGACTTTTTTTATACAAAACATCATGAATATTATGGTTTTTCTTGTGAAAAGGATCGCCACTTATTATATAAGACAGAGATTAAGTTCAGTATGATCCAACCTTGACTGACCCAATGCAGTACTATTCTGCGTGATGTGAATGGCCTTGTTAATTCCTCTCAATCCATTAATGTTTGACTTTTTTGGTGTATATGAAAAGACATGTAAAAATTAATCTTGATCCAATAAATATATTCTGTGTTGTTGATACACAACGTTCTGCTAGTAATCCTCTGGCATTCTCAATCAATCTGTCACGACCATTATGACAGATTGGTCATAGTGTCGCCTTGGTGTTGTTGAGATTGTTCTGCGCCTCCTATTTTTGACAACATGACACTATGAACAGAGACAAGGAAGGACACAAATTATTGCACATATATGATGACATCATACAATGTCAAAAAGCAGGAGGGTGCCTAATTTTTATTATAATTATTATGCTGATTTGTAAATTAAACTTTATTTTTAAGGTATTTATGGTTATCATGGAAATAAGAAATTGCCTTTTCTGAAGATCACCGTGGCTGTCCCAAAATTCATTGCACCTGCTAGACGTCTTCTTGAACAAGGTTCTCTTAACCTTTCACCCATGTATCCTCCAAAGGCTTTTCAAAGTTACGAAAGTAATATTGATTTTGAAATTAGGTAGGTTGGATAAGTTAATATAATATACACATTAATTGTCATGCCAAGTATACTCGTCCCTTCAAAACCCTGTTCAATTCAATTCATTTCAATTTATTATAAAATTCCACAAATCGTGGCCTGTTAGATCGGTAGTCATGCCTTGTCAACGAATGCTAGAACACTGCCATGCTACAACTACCACACTACAACCATTCTACATTCTCTATCACACAACTACCTTGCCACAATTACTTACCGTGTTAAAAATATTACACTATAATTTCATTACTCATTACATAAAAATATTTAAATTAATTAAAATGCAATAAAAGTTAATAATAAGTAAGTAATGGAATAAGATATTTTTTCTTTTTGTCATTAGGTTTATGGTAGACACTGAAGTTGTTGGTTGCAACTGGATAGAGCTCCCAGCAGGACAATACTTTGTTAGGAAGAAAGATGATGCACAGTCCCTGTGTCAGGTGGAGGTGGATGTAGCATGGGATAAATTCATCAGTCATGCAGCAGAGGGGGAGTGGCAAACTGTGGCACCATTCAGAATTCTTAGTTATGATATTGAATGTGCTGGTAGAAAAGGTAACTAGATAATTATTACTTTCACATGTAACAGAAAGTACACTTGCTGAACTTAAGTTGGTCAGTGGTCGATCCAGGAATACTAAAGTGTGTGGGCCCAGGGATGGAGTTTTGAAGATGAAGGGTCATGTTAGGGCTAACATCATGTTTGAATTTCTTTTTTCCAAACTGTTCACCCAACTGTCTTTGTATGTGGTAATAATAGTAAGTGCTTAAGGATTAGTGAATGTTATAATTTTTCACTGTGTATTTCTTTTGTGGCGTTAAGGTCTAATTATTAATATTAAAGTTTCCATTTGAAGAATGATTACAGGTCTTCCTCTAATTCAAGATCCCTCAAATACCACCTCCAGTTAAGGACCATTTGTCTATGACCTATGACAAACAATACCACTTTTCTGTGGCCCTGGATGAACAATTACACTTGTTTTTATTATATTTATTTTTTTCTAATTAGAGGCCAAAGCTGATAAAGTCTTCAAAAACCCTGGTGCCAAAACTGGTCTTTAATAGAGGGATTTAGCGATTGGCGTCACACCTAACTTAGGTGTTGGATATAAACAGTCGACTGGCACAGCTGTGTTTTACTTGGAGATTGCCAGGGCAGTTGTCGCTTATTATTGCTGTAAAGGTCATCATAATTCCCAGTAAACTATACCAAATTGATTGGAAATTAAACTTAAGAATTTTACCTTAATGGTTAACTGATGCTATAAAGGATACTGGCCTGCAAACATTGAGATTTTTCGACAAATGTTAGGACTAGACCCCTTCATATCTACGGCATGGTTAGAAATGCATGATGGTCTTCGACCTGCGAACTACGCTGCGATATTAGGGCCAGCTAAGGTTTATGAAGGGTCACTTAAATTTCAAAGCATACAAATTGAGGAGAACGCTAGGATAAGTAAATAAACACTACTTTGAACAATCGTATTGCCTTTCCTAGCCATTTACTTCTCACGTTGACTGTGGGTGGCTGCTTTCGCAAACCATAACATTATCTTTTCCTATGCTATTGCACTGTAATGTTTTTCATGTATACCCAAGTTAGGTCAAGTGACCGTCTGTAAACAATCATTGCCGAATCCCTCTTTTGGAGGGAGATGAATTGTATTTTTCTGTGGCCCTGGATGAACAATTACACTTGTTTTTATTATAATTATTTTTCTAATTAGAGACCAAAGCTGATGAAGACCACAAAAACCCTAGTCCCAAAACTGGTCATTTAATTGGAGGGAGACATGTATTAATAATGATATTTGTATTCCTGCAGGAATTTTCCCTGAGCCTGATAAAGATCCTGTGATACAGATTGCCAACATGGTGATATGCCAAGGGCAGAAAGACCCATTTGTCCGTAATGTGTTCACATTGAACACATGTGCACCCATTGTTGGAAGCGAGGTTCTGTCATATAGTAACGAGAAAGAATTATTGAAGGTAGGATAGTAGGACTGTTGGTATGTATTTTTTTCTTTATAAAGTTGTCTTTTGACTTATCACTTTGTGCGCACACATTGCACACTGGTGGTGGTATCACCTGTCCTAGTCTAGTTTGTTGGAGCTGCATAATTATATGTCTTCTTCAGGACTCAGGGTATTTCCATTAAATTACTTTTTGTTTTTCTATTTTATAAACTTTGTAAATTTGATTGATTAGAACGATGGAAGTAAAATTCCTATAGAACTGCAACTTTTTGATTACTTAAAAATAGAGCATAGTTTGAAAAAAGTTGATAAATACAAAAAAAAATGTTATACAATTTAAAGTACCTTATGGTAATAATGGTGAAGGACCACCAAACCATGTAAGAATAAAACATATTAATCTTTTTTTTTTTCTAGATGAAATTTAGTGAATAGCTTTATACTTGTTAATCTTTTAGAGTTGGTCAAAGTTCATTAAGGATGTTGACCCTGACATCATCACTGGTTACAACATCCAAAACTTTGACATGCCGTACCTTCTGAACCGTGCAGCAGCTCTGAAGGTGACAGACTTTCCTTTCTTCGCACGTATAAAGGGGTCACGAAGTGTAATCAAGGAATCTACGTTCCAGTCGAAGCAAATGGGAAAGCGCGAGAATAAAGTAGTTAACATTGAGGGCAGAGTTCAATTTGATTTATTTCAGGTGCAGTACTAGTTTTCAAAATTGTTACTGTATACAAATGAACACATTATAATCATCATCATAACCATCATGGCTATATCAACATGAAAAATATTCACCATCTTCAACATCATTTTTTTTTTTTCAGATTATTGACATCACCTTACATCAGGCATTGACAATCATCATTACATTCATATTGTTGTCATCGTTGATGCTGCTGGCGTCATTGTCATTATATTATCATCATCCTCATTTTCTTTTTTTTTTTCGACCTAACTCATCCTTTCACAGTTATATTTCTTGTACTGCACATGATATGCTTACTGTAAATGCTTGAATAAGCGCCACTCACGATTAAGCGTCGCTCTCGAATAAGCGCCGCACCAAATGTTGTTTTCGCTAAGCGTCGCTCTCCAATAAGCACCGCGGCGCTCCATTATTTGGGCGAATAAGCGTCTGTGTGCAATGGAACTATTAAAGAAATAGGGCAAACAATACAATGTATACAGCGTTCAAATGAATAAATAACACAATGAAGACCCAAGCATATCTTTATAAACGTTTATTTACGGTGATGTAGGGTCTATGATAGGCCTATTGAACTATGATAATACGTGAGATAAGGTAACATAAGAACAATAGAAGGCGCCACGCCAAAGCGTCCAAAACTTTTATGTGCACCACGGTGCTTTTTCGAGCATTTACGGTATTCCTCTCAATGAAAGAACATCTTCAATATAATATAGAATGTAGAGGACTCAAACTTTGGAATAATTTACCTTTGTGTGTAAGAGAATGTGTTTCAACTTAAAAAATATTTGATATCTACCTACTGATTTTGAATTTTATTCTCAAATATCTTTTCTTACTCGCACTTCTGTCAGATGACGTTTCATGTATATTTAGTACTTTTATTTATTTATTTATGTATTTGTTTATGTATGTATTTATTTATTTATTTGTTTATTTATTTATGTATTTTCTTTTACTATTTTGGTTATGCTTTCTTCAATACTATTTACTTTGCTCTTAACCACATTGTACTATTTTTCATTTTGCAGAAAATATATGTTACTTTGATTGATTGATTAATGTCATTTCTTAAGTCCTCCTCGCAGAATTGATAGCACAGAAATTAAACAGAACATAAATTAAACATATCCCAGTATTTGTTTTTTTTTTAACTTTCCATTTTATTTGCCTCTACAGATTCTTTTGCGCGATTACAAGTTGAGATCATATCGACTGAATGCCGTGAGTTTTCACTTTCTACAGGAGCAGAAGGAAGACGTACAGCATTCTATTATTACAGATCTACAAGTAGGTCATGTGATTAAACAAATACAAATACATTTTATGAGGCACATGATAACAATTATCAATATGTGTTGAAAAACTAGTATTCAGACAATCAGGGAAAATGTTGAGGGAGGGACATGTTCACTGATTTTATTGGATTGTATGTTCGTATGAATAAATGCCATTTTGCATAATTTATTTTGGTGTTTTTCAGTCTTTCGTTATTTCTACTTATATTCTTCTATCCCTTCACCATACCATACCTGCCTATGCAGAATTATGTCTATGAAATTTAACCATACTAAACCTACCAACTATTTTTATTTGTTGGCAAGGCATGTTCATTGAATTGCCTTCTGAGAATTTGGTGAGATGAGCTGCAATGCTTTTCTTAATTTTAGAATGGTTCAAGTCAAACTCGACGACGACTTGCCGTGTACTGTCTGAAGGACGCCATGTTGCCGATCCGTCTTCTCGAAAAGCTTATGTGCATTATCAATTACATGGAGATGGCGAGGGTCACAGGTGTGCCACTCTCCTACCTACTCTCTAGAGGGCAGCAGATTAAAGTAGTGTCACAGCTATTGAGGCATTCTAAAGAACAGGATCTGTTGATGCCATCGCAAAAAATAGATACTGGCGATGAGTATGTTGGAGCAACGGTCATAGAACCAGAAAAGGGGTAAATGTCTATTAATACTATGTATGTATGCGCATATTTTAAGTAGAGTTAAAGTGTATGTTTCAGTCTTGAGTGCTCATTGTATTTTTCTTGTAAATTGTTATATTTTCTATAGTGACTGTTTTTATGTTTTTTTTACATTTGTTTTACATTTTATAATATAATATGTGATGACGAGCAGAAGAATAAAGTTATCTTATCTTATCTTATCTCATTCATAATCTCATTGACTTCATGTCCATTTCATTTTCATTTATTTATTCGACCATATAAACATTAAAAAGCACAAAAACAAAAAGAAACAACAAAACGATGGTCAGTGGCAGCTAAAGCAAATAAATTACTGCAACTCGAAAGAGTCAGCTGTCCCTAGAAGAGTCAGCTGTCCTCAGAAAGGTTTGCAAGTTATCAAACACAACACCATTGTCCAAGCCTTTATGATGGTCATTTTAGATTAGTGTAGATACTTCTGCATTCTCAAGGGTCCCTACAGATCAACTTTGCTAGATGATATTCACACGAAGGTACTACTGTACCTAATAACATATTTATAATTTCATCCAATTGTTGTTAGGTATTTCTTCCACAATGTTTTCATATGTATGTTTCTCCATGAATCATCTGCTAGATATATTTTGCTAAGTTTAAAAGCATTATCTTTTTTTGTTTTGTTTCCCCAGTTACTACAATATGCCAATTGCAACACTTGATTTCTCTTCCCTGTATCCATCCATCATGCAAGCCCATAACCTCTGCTATACCTCTCTCCTTCAGAAGAGTATGAGAGAAGAGTAAGTACAATTTTTGAAATTCAATATATGAACATTTTGTGACTAAGTAATTAAATCAAAAGTTAGCTGTTACTGATGGGTACCCTTTTGCTTTGTGAATATTATCTGTAATTTCACATGCGCTTAAAAGAGCATAATGTTGCCTTGACAACATTGGCGGAGGTCCCTACCCTCTTGCAGATACGATTCTCCACTAATATATTCGAAAACGCAATGTGTTTCTTCCGTTACACTTTCATTTAAGCAGATACTATTGATACATGTCCATAGCAACGTAATATTTATCTTTATTATTAAGGATAAACTGAAAGTCAATTAGTCAGTTAAATAAACCTAAATCAAATAAAACTTGCTGAAAATTAATATATGAATTGAATTGAATAATTTGAATTTTCATTAAAAAGGAAAATTATATATATTTAAGTTATTACAGAAAAATGCCAATTAAGATTTTAATAATATCATTCATTTCATATATAGTAATATAGGCTTTGCATTATTAAAAATTCCGTAATAAAATATTTGTAAATCATTGACAAGTGATTTTTTTCCTGATCTGTGATTTAATTAATTGAGCAATTGAAATTTACATTTTTGAGGTTTGTTTTCTTGGGTAGAAGTATATATTTAATCTGATTATTAAGATCAACCTAAACATTGATTAGTTTGCTTGTGTCTGTTTTCCTGTTCCTGAATCCTGAAAATTAAGTAATTAAAATTATAAAATTATTTTTTGGCAAACCACTGGTGTTTATGCTAAAGGTTGTTTGTGTGTAGAATGGGAATGACAACAGTGTACTGCCCAGGACGTGAAGATTCCTAAACATAGATATAACCTTCAATTTATTTGATTATCATCAATATACCGTACTTGATTCCTCAAGTTAACTATTAATCGGTGTACAATAACACGGAAATATCCTACTTACAGATTAAACCCCGACCAGTACATCAAAACACCATCTGGGAACTACTTTGTCAAGGCGTCAGTGAGGAAAGGTCTTCTTCCTGTTGTGTTGGAAGGCTTACTATCTGCGAGGAAAAAGTAAAGCCAATACAGTTTCGCATTTCAATAAATCGCTTTTGTAGCACTTTCTGTCATGAAGAGAGCCCTTGACATAAAATGTTTTTATCTTATTTTGATAGAGCCAAGGCAGACCTGAAAAAGGAAACAGATCCTTTTAGGAAAGGGGTCCTCGATGGACGACAATTAGCCTTGAAAATGAGCGCCAACTCCGTGTATGGTTTCACTGGTGCCCAAGTTGGCAAGCTACCATGTTTAGAGATATCCCAGGTAAGCGCGATAATGCGTAGTTGCCAGCGTCCATGTACGGTTTCACTAGTGCAAACATCATACATAATTATGGCTTTACTGGTAACCTAGTTATCAAACTAAATGTCTAAATCTGGTGCCAACTCTTTCCATTTTTGTGTCTACTGCCTGAAAGCAAGCTCTAGATTTCCTATAATCGCTATACTTATTTAGAGTAAATCTGGTTGGAGAAATGATGGGATACCTATCAATGCATCATATGTTAAAGATAGAAAAAGTCTTGCTCTTTTTTGCGGGGTTGAACAGTCATGCAGCTGGCTCTATTTGCCATGCCTTGGATGGAGCTAGAAAGAACCAAAATAACGTGTAATTAGGCCTACCGCTGCTGACTTTTAAGCAAAATATAACTATATCAAGCAGTAGATACACACTCTCGCTGGGAGCCTATTTTTGTTTTTTTAACCAATACTCCAAGTATGCAATGCAATGTCTGGTAAGATCATACACAAGGCAATTCAGCTTGTCTACCAGCCTCACATGCAAATAGCACAATTGAATCCACTTAATCTTCAGGAAAGTTTCTGCCTGACAGAAAGCCAAATAATTCAATTTTTGAACTATTGCTTGTATATTCGTGTTTGCAGAGTGTTACAGCGTTTGGACGAATGATGATTGAACGAACGAAAGACTTGGTGGAAAGCAAGTACACAGTTGCCAATGGCTACAACCACAATGCCAAGGTATAATACTATCATATGATGCTGAAATTGGTAGTTGTTTCAGTGACTAAATGAAAATGTTGATTAAATTACAACAGTGAATTCGTGTACCAGAAAGTCCTAGCAAGGGATTTTCACGTTTTTTCTGTACAAAAGTCATAGGCATTTATCTAGGCTATGCCTTGTTGTCAGCTAGTGTGGATGGTATGTGCAGTTGACCTCCACAAGGAACTGGCCTGTGGTAGGCCCCAAGTTGGAAGAAGGTGCTTCTGGGGAAAATTTTGTTAACTGAGTTTTTTTAACGCATAAAATTTTGTCTTGCTGTGCACAATGATACTCATCAGCAATGGCTTCTATGAGACAATTGATAATAAATTAGTAAAAGATTAGATATTATGAATTTGCGGAAGATGGGTTGTTTTCCGTGAGATTCTTGCTTCCATGCAGGATTGCGGGAAGCCATTCTGATGTATATGTGCATACACCCTGAGGCTCACACATTCAACGTGAGACTCGCACATTCGAGGTCTGCTTCACGCTCTCACACTTAAGGACCAAAATCTCCCGCTTAAATGTAGTATGGCTTACAATAAGAAATATATGTATAATTTGTAGCTCTTTTGCTAAACAATCACAATCTGCTGTACTTACAATAGGATTGGTTTTGTTATTACACACATTCAAACACTAAAAATGGCACACTACACCAGGGTTAAGTTGAGTTGGCTTCCTATCTTACGTAAAACTCTCAACCAATCAAATGGAGCTGCCATATTGTGGCCTGGGCAATGCGTTGCATGTTTAGTTTTTTGGAAGAGTAAATCATGTCAGATGCAAGTTTCTCAGACAATTTCACAATCAAGTTGGTAACAACCAACGAACCAGCACATTTGTTTGGTTCCTTTTCAGAAATGTTAAAAAAAGCCCAAATCAGCAAAATGGATGTATAAAAAAGATCACGGCCGGCTCGACCTAAAAATTTAATTCAGATTTGAAGTCTGACTACCAACTTCCTTTAATTGGTGCCAAATATTTCCTACTGGCAATTCGCTAACAATCTGACATTTTTTTATGTCAAATGTATGTATGTATTCTTTATTTGTTAAGTAAAGGGCTAGGTAGGCCTAAGCCTTGCCATGGGAGAAAAATTTTGTCACAAAATATGCCTTGGATTTAACTGTTTTCTACAACAAAATAATACTTTTCAAAAGCCAAAATTACCTGTGCTTAATGTCAAGTATTCATTTGAAGTGATTTCCGAATGAAAACATGACCATAAATGCCCAAAACAAGTGTTATTATTCTTTTCATAAATATTGCCTATCCATGCAAGTAGCACCCTCAATGATCAAAATGTGAGATTTTCTGTACAGTATGACTGAACAAGCATGCACAGCTCAAATATAATATATCTCGGCTGAAAACGATTAATGTTTCTTGCTTTAAACTTAGTTTGATATTACTTTTGGTTTTAATGTTTTCTGTCTTAGCTGATGTAACAATTTAAATTATTTCGGAAGAAGTGTTTCTGTGGTAAAAAACGATCGTTCGTAATGACGTCATTGCTGCAAATTCGGTTCATAAAATCAGGAGTTCGTAAATGGGAGGTTCGTAATTGGGAGATGTTACTGTACTAGTTTTTTTGATCAAATCAGATCAAACTAGCAGCATCAACATAATCAAAGGATACACTGCCAGCCGCCAAGCACGTGGCTCATATCAGTGGGAGGTTTGTGAAACGACGGAAACATGCATTCTCAAGAAAACAATGCTGATCCTTAACAGATTTTTAGTTGTAGAAATACAACCCTAAAGTGGTAAAGAATGCGTTTTCGGGTATCTAGGGGGGAAAAACATTTTTTTTTTAAACATGGCATGTATGTGAGACTTAGGACCCCCGTTGTGGTTAGTGAATTCTGAGTCTTTGTTTTTGTTGCTATGATTTTAACATTGTAATATATTTATTCCTAGGTAATATATGGTGACACAGATTCTGTGATGGTAAAGTTTGGTGTGGATACAGTCCAGGAGAGTATAGACCTGGGCAAGGAAGCAGCCGGGTGGATTACCAAAGAATTCCCAGATCCATGCAAGCTAGAATTTGAAAAGGTGAAGTGTGGTTTTGAGTAATTAGCCTCCCCTGGGAGCATTGGTCCTAAGGTATTACCCAGTAAGTATAGCCCATGTGGGAAGAAATTGGATACTATAGAGAATCTTTATCTAGTTTTTGTTCAGTATACTTGTTCATTGAAAAGTAAAATGTGGTGGCCCAAGTATCAACAAACTTGTATCTGGTTAAATGCTCATTAGCAAATCTGAAAATTTTTAGCAAGCACGACATAAATAACAATGTTAGATATATACTCCTTTTGTACTACCAAGCCGACATATATTGCATAAAAATGTAGTGCAAGATGCAATTAGATCTTTGGAGTATGAATATCCCTTCATGCAACCTAACCTTAAATCTTTTCCCTTATTCAAAATGTGTTTTTGTTTTTATAGGTTTATTTTCCATATTTACTGATCAACAAGAAGCGGTATGCAGGGTTATATTTTACACGTGCTGATACGCATGACAAAATGGATTGCAAGGGTATTGAAACAGTTCGCCGTGATAATAGTCCACTTGTAGCAAATCTTGTGAATGCTTGTCTGCAGAAAATATTGATTGACAGGTTTGCTTAACATTTTCCGCCCAATATGTTTGCATCATGTCACTAACTGTTTACATTATCATTTTATGTTACAATTACATAATGCTTTATTTTATTATATGTAATACATAGTATAATATTTTTGTTATATGTGAAATTAAATTTATAATCTAAATTGAGCAGCTCCTTGTTGTGAGAAAGTCTTAGTCCACATTTGGGATTCTCAACCAAGACCCGTAAATACTGTTAAGTAGCTTTACCAAGGCACTGCATATTTTAGAATTAATCTGTAAGTTATTTGAAAGTTTGTAATTTAATTCAATTGTTTCGCTTTTGAAATTATGTAGCGAGAATTAACGAAAGCCCTTGAAACAACCTCCCTATAATAAATATTACTCGATACCTTAGTCAGATAAACTACAAGGCGCCGTAAGTGGCCTCTCATAATTTCAAGTGTTTATAACTATATCAAAGGTCAATATATATGTGTAAAAGAAATATCCTACAGATTAGTATGTTAAGAGTTATAACTTGAAGTTATGCTGCCACCTATATTTGAAATGTTTAAAAATATTAATGCATGATTTGTACAATTCATTTAGCTGTTAGATTCAAACTAAAGAATAGGCTCCTGATAATAGCTTTAGTATACTGCAGAAACTAAGTCAACATTACTCCAAACATAGTCCATTGTCAGACAAGGTTGCTACCAGCCATTGGTCATTTGTCAAAACATATGACCAATTACCAACTCCCTGATAAAACTACATTCAAAATGTACTTGGAATGCCTGTCAAATGAAATGAACATAAATGAATCTTAACACATTCTATTTTACAATACCACCGCACAGGGTATATCTGTGCAAGCGTGGTTTGCTCAAAAAAGCAAAAAAAATGTCTTTGGCAATTATTGGAAATATAATATGCCACTCCTCATACTCAATTTGTTTTTGGCAGTTATTGGACATATGATAATGCCACTCCTCAATCTCAACAAGGTGCAGTAAGTGGTCTCTCATAGTTTTAAGTGTCATTACTATGTCAAAGGTCATTATATATGTATAACTACATGATTTATATGATTCACTTAGTTATTAGCTTCAAACTAAAAATTAGAACAATAAAACAAATTTTCTCTTCCGATTATTGCCATTCCTCTAGTCTTGCATATACCATTAATGTGGTAATGATGACAATAAGGATTTTCATATTAATAATCTGTTGGGGTTAAAGCCCCATTCCCGGCAAAATTTCAGTTTTTAAGAAAAATCTAATTTTTGTATAATGTTATAAAGATTTATAAATATAATACGGAA